TGCCTCACCCCAAAAGGATTTTGGAAATTTAGCTTGTGAAAGCAAACACCTTGTTTTTTCTACAATGGTGCGGTTCATCCTCTCGGCAACGCCATTTTGTTGAGGAGTCTTCTTAACTGTCTTTTCGTGCCGAATACCTTGGCTGCGACAATACTCATCAAATGGCCCAATGTATTCACCACCATTGTCTGATCGGATGTACGTCAATTTCTGCCATGTTTCTCTTTCAACCATGGCCTGAAAATGCTTAAATACTTCTAGAACTTGATCTTTAGTTTTTAGAAGAAAAGCCCAAACTTTCCTTGAATAATCATCAATGAAAGTAACAAAATAAAGTGCACCACTATGTGATCTAACTTTCAAAGGACCACAAACTTCCGAATGAATCAACTCCAAAACATTTTCTTTTCTAGAAGCAACATTTTTATGAAAAGAAACTCTATGTTGTTTACCCGCCAAACAATGAACACAAGTTTTAAGATGTGTACCTTTCAAACCGGGTAGAAGCTCTTTCTTGAACAAAACTTGCAGCCCCTTTTCACTCATGTGCCCAAGTCGCCTGTGCCACAATTCAGTAGAAGTATCATCTTCAAGTGCGTTGACAACACCTTTACAAATTTTTCCTTGCATCGAATAAAGTGTATGAGTCTTCTTGCACTTAGCCACCACCAAAGAACCCTTTGTGAGCTTCCATATTCCATCACCAAATTTTTTGTTGAAGCCTTCATCATCTAGCTTTCCAGTAGAGATCAAATTGAGGCGAATGTCGGGAACATGCCTCACATCTTTTAGCAATAGCTTGCAACTCAAATTTAATTCCAAGAAAACATCACACATGCCAACAATCTTGGACATACCTTCATTACCCATTCGAACACAACCATAATCTCCTTTGGTATAGGAAGTAAAGAAATTAACCCGAGAAGTCACATGAAAGAAAGCACCTAAATCAATCACCCAATTGCTCTATTGGCCTACAAAATTGACACAATCATCTTCACAAACGACCATTAGATCACAATCGGTAGTAACCGCCATTGTGTCTTTTTACTTCTTATCCATACTTTTGTCACGTCTTTTCTCCTTGTTCTTGAGTTTCAACATTCCAGCTTCATGTGCCCTTTCTCTTGGCAATAATGGCACTCAATGTCTTTTTTTGAAAAAGAATCATCTTTTGATTTGTCACGGCTTTGATCACGACCATGAGGAGTCTTACTCCTCCCCCTTGTTTTGCTTCGGCCTCTGACAACAAATACTTCTGAATGAGAGGAACCCGCTGATTTTCTTCTAGTTTCTTCATTCAACAAGCTACTAGTGACTTGGCCCATTGTGACAACTCCATCAGGTGCCGAATTACTAACCGTCACAACCAAAGTCTCCCAACTTTCGGGCAAAGAACTAAGTAGCATCAAAGCCTGCAACTCATCATCAAAAATAATTTTCATAGAAGCAAGTTGGTTAACAATACTCTTTATTTCATTCAGATGTTCCGGAATAGGGCTGCCCTCTTTATATTTTAAATTAACCAACTTACGAAACAGAAAAACTTTATTTGTGGCTGATTTCCTATCATAAAGGCCTTCTAATTTTTTCCATAAATCATGTGCTGAAGTTTCAGTAGCAACATGATGAAACACACTGTCATCAATCCATTGACGGATAACACCAGCGGCTTTTCGATTAAGCCTATTCCATTCATCATCTTTCATACCCTCGGGTTTGCCACTATCACCCTCAATGGGTCTATACAAATCTTTATAAAATAATAGGTCCTCCATTTTAGTTTTCCAAGTTACCCAATTGCTTCCATTGAAGCTAGACATACGACCCACATTCCCCTCCATTGATTTACACAAATAATAAACTCAAATAAACCGTAAGCTCTGATACCAGTTGTTAGGGAAAATCTATGATTCCCCACAAGTAAACCAATCAATGGGAATAAAAACTAATGCGGAAAAATTAAATCAAAGGCAACACAAGAATTTTTACGTGGTTCCCTCAATGTGAGGTACGTCCATGGGATCGAAATCCGATTCCACTATCAACCAAATAAGTTTCCAAACGATTACAAACGAGACACTAATGGTCTCACAAAATCACCCTTAGGTGAATTCCAAATAATCACAAATAAACAAGAGGAAAGACCTCACCAAATAAATGAACCAAAATCTTCAGAATCAGAGTTGAAGAAGACCCAAAATAACGAACAAAATCAGAACCGAAAATTGAACCATACTACTTCACAAATCAAATCATCAATTCTTGATTGACCAAGTCAAATCAAGAATACCAAAACGAACACCAAGTTGATTAATGGGCACCAAACTGCTACTGCCGTTTTTTTCTTCACACACGGGGGTGAGTCAAAACAAAATCCTAAAATATTGTGAATCTAGGGTTTATTATCAAACCTTAGTTGTTTCCAAATTGGATTGGGTCTCCACAAATTAAATATAATATATAAAAATATATTATAATTAATACTAAACCAAATTAAATTCTTTTTTCAAAATCAATTAGGTCCCACACTCCAATAAGAAGGTACTCAACAGAATCTACTGGAATAAAATCAACTAATATAAAGTTTCTGCATTTGATATAATTTAATTGGTTCGAGAGCAAATCTTTCGGTGTGGTAGAATATGGCATGTTGAGTGTCTCTTTTTTGTTTTCCCCAATAAGTAACTCTATTATAGAACAATTCAGAAGGGTGCAGCCTTGTACACGTTGAAGTCTGTGTTTGCTTTTCCTCCTCCCCATAGACCCGCCTGTAGCCTGTTATGAGCCCAAGCAACATGCCAAAATGATCAGGTCTAGTGGAACCGGAGAGTAAGATTCTTATTATTTATCATTAATTTTTCATGTTCTTGATGTTTTAGTATATTAATTTTTAGGATAAATTATCAATACGTTCTAATAATCGGACTTAATTCCCATCAAATACTATTGAAATAAGACTTGGTAAAATTGTCGCTAAAAATATTTTTTTTGTGACAATTTTTATATATGTCGCTAAAAATTGACAATTAGTGACTTTTTTTTGTCATGATTTTTATAAATAATCGCTAAACTTACAATTAGTGACATTTTTTTATGACAATTTTTTTTCATAAGACCTATTAGACAACAAGTCCACTTATTAGGAGTTACACGTAAGTACCTCTAATGTTTACCGGTAGTTTCATAGGCCCTGACATTCTAAAATGTTTCTTTGTGTGCAGGGTACCTTAAAAGGTCAAGGTGTAGTAGAGCTTTGTGATAGAGGACTGCCTGTAAGAACCAGATTAATAGGAACTTTACTAGTTTACTATTTTCTTATTTATCTGTGATCTTCTGAGTCATCCTTATGTATTGCATTTTGAGTTTGCATTATATGAGCCATTGTTTAATTGAAAATGCTGCTTTTAGTGGCAATAACACACAAAAGATAATTAATGCAGTGATCCAAATAGCTGAGACGGATTAACTATTTACAGAGGGGATGGGTTGTTTAGCTTTCTGTTGCAATATTTTTTGCATTGTTTTCTCACCTTAGTTGACATACATCCGAAGTCTAGACTGCTAGCACTTGTTCCAGCTGGATAGGGAGGATGATACGACTGCCCTCGTCCCACTCAGACCTGTTTGAAGAGTTTGGAGGGTATCTGGACTTGGCGTTTACTTCTCATCTCATCTCTTATCCACTTATCTTATTCAATATTCACATTCCATCGTTCTTCACTTCAAATAAGCTAGGCAGCGGTTTCTGCTCGATATTGGTATCCTAGGCAGCAATGTTCCCCCTCTATGTCCTCTCTGCATAGTGGCCCCTGAATCTGTTTCTCATGTTTTGCTTCATTGTCATTTCTCTTGGACCATTTGGTCATCTGTGCTATATGAGTGGGGGGCTCTGTTGGTGTATCCCTCTATCTGTAGCAGCTCTGTTTAACTGGTGGATGGGGGTTAAGCTCAAGCACCCTCTCAGGAAATTCTGCGGAGCAATCCCACTGGTTGTACTGTGGTCCCTTTGGAGGCTAAGGAATGAGTGTGTTTTTAGAGATGCTCATCCTAATTCTGCAGAATTGTGGGAACTTATTAAGATCAGATTGGCTCTTTGGCTTAAAGCTTCTATCAAGGATTTCCCCTTCACAGTTGAGGATGTGGTTCTCAATTGGAGACAAACCAGGCTATGCTATTCAGTTTAAAAGAAATCTACCACTGTTTTGTTCAGTTTCAGCTCCAGCATTCTTGACTGATGTTATCACTACTCTGTCTTCTTTTGTTGCTGATCTGAACTGGGCTTCTGCCTGCAATTAGTGATCTGTCGTCCCAGTGGGCTTCTGCAATTGGTGTTGTGTTGTTATGAACGGCAATCTGTCATCCCAGTGTTTGATCTGAACTGGTTTTATGCAAGTAGTGATTTGTTGGCTTTCTGTAATGATCTGCGATCTGTTGTCATGTGGGTGAACTGCAAGCAAACAAAGTGATAATATAGTTGAGTTGTTCATAGGTGATTTGCTGACTTGGTGTTCTTTGGTTGTTTGGTGTTCTGCCTTGCTGATTTCTGGGCTGGTTCAGGGGTCTTTGGTTGTTTGTCTTCTGTTTTACGATTCTATCACTCTGTTGTTAGATCAGTGATGTCCAGCCAACTTTCTGTTTTTGTTTCCTCTTCTTGTTGGTTTCTCACCAACTGGAGCTCTGAGCTTGTCCTAACTCTGAGCTCCTCTTTATTGATGTATCCTATCATTTTGTTGTTTTCATCAATAAAGATTTATTTTGCCGATCAAAAAAAAAAAAGCTACAATGGGAACTTTTGCTACCTTACTGTGCAAATGGTTATCTCCTATCCTCCCTGTAGTGATTTGGAAACAGATGATGACTTCAAACGTTAGATCTTGTGAAATCTGGTTGCCTCCCATCTTTGAATTTAAAACTTAAAAAACTTTCTGAATTTATCCTCAGCTTTCAACAGTTACTATGGCCTTATCTTTTGCATGTATCTTTCTCTAGTAACTTCCATTTTTATTGAAACAAGTGTGCATGTTTTTTGTTCAGTTGTTGAATTTAGGAGTTGTGTGGCTCATTACTCCATACTTCTTAATGTAACCTGGATTCTATTTGTTGCTGATGTAACTCGGTTGTTATGTTGGTGTATTATGCATTTGTTGTGTTAGGATTATGAATTTTTCTGTAAATTGTAGATCATCCTTATTTTGATGCATTTGCTCCATTTATGTAAATTATTGTGCATTCTTTATTTTATACTCTGGTATAACTACTATGTTTGCTGTCATATCTGATTAAGGCTTGACCATCAGAATCATTGTTCCTCTCCAGAATATTGTTGGATATCTAGAAAAATGTAGCTTTCTTCCAATGCTTACTAATGAACTCCCTCGTCAGAGGAATTCAACTCGCAAGCAACAGGTCGGTAGGTTAAGGAACCTGGTACTTATCGGCAGAGTTTTACATCCTTCTACATTGCTTGTCTTCATCTTCTTTGATATTTTATTGTCTCTTGACTACTTCGCAACTTGCACAGAGTTTTATATTGCAGCATGCTTATTTCCATTCTCCATATTATCTTTGTATATCAACAGTTTGAAAACAATGCTGTGCTAGTGCCATAGGAAACATCCTGGTTCGGGTTTTGTCCAGATGGGGCACTCAGACCAGTTTTGCCCCCTCAACAGGTATTTGTCTCCATTTTTAAAAATAAAAAAAACAAACAAACAAACAAATTGCTTATTACATGTCTTAATTATCATCCACATAGGTAGATCTCTCTGCTAAGGTTGTAGTTCAACATGATCTATTTTGTGATCCGCCTAAGTTGCATTTGTTTAACAAGAACCAAGAACTTTAAACGAGAAGAGGAACAAGCCTTCTATTGGCATTACTTATCCTACAATGATCAGGCAAATCATTTGATTAGCTCATCATGTTCAGCTTCTTACATTCAACTACTTCTGCTGCTTCTTGTCCATGGCTTGGAGATTTTGTTAAATGCTAACCTAACCTGAACCACTTTAGGTCAATTCATACTACAAAGAGAAATTTCTGTAGGGTAGTTTGAAGAAAAACAAAACTCTGAATATCATTGATTAGAATCTTTGATGTCCTGTATAACTATCCTGACATTCAAATCTGTGCGAAAAGTGTGGTATAAGCAGAGCTATGAGACAGCCAACAGCAGCTGTGCAATCAACTAAATCTCCCTACTTGCTGCCCAAAGCCTTAATGTGAGCATTGCACTAGTGCTTAACGTTTAACCCTTTTTATTCTCCTTTCTGCAGACAAAGCTTTACATTGAGGACTGGATTGGCTTGAAGAACTTGGACAGAGCTGGGAAAGTCAAGTACATCAGTGTGCCCTGAAATCATATTAAAATCTCCAAAAATGATATGGTGGGTGTTTGGGAAGCGGGTTTTTTTGTAGATTTTTTTAGTTGTAGGATATTATTGGATAAAATTTTTTTGGTGTTTGGGAAGATAGTTAGATTTTTTTGTGGTTAAATGTGATTTTTGTGAGATAAAAAATGAAATGATTATGGAGTTTATGGAGTTGGATGTGATATTTTGTTTAGATTTGTTTTTTTTTTTTTTTTAGTTTTGCAAAAAGTTTGTCTTTTAGTGTAAAAAATAAAAATAAAAAACCCAATCCATAAACTTCCCAAACAGATAAAGCATATCAAAGAGGGTCGACGAGGTTCAAAAGTTCAGTAAACAAAGGTTGTGGGTCGTACAAATCAGCTGAAGTGATAATTGAAGGATCAACATCTTTATGCATGTTCTTTTTTTTCATAATTTTTTTTTGGGTTCTGCAAGGGGGTGGATTACCACATATACATTCTTCATTTCTCTTTCATTTAAGTTATTATGGGGAGTTATTATACACATCAATTTGAAATTTTAATTATCTGCCTGCTGTTCAGTAGTTGTGCTTCCGTGCCTCCAGTCGGTTTAGCTCCATGAATTTATTTTTTTTCTTTGAGAAACTTATCACAGCCTGATTTATTTATTTTAATACTCTATATTTAGTTTCAAGGCTTTTGGGTTCTGTGTTTTTCAAATGAACATGTCATTACTATGACGCAGGTATGAGATATAATTAGAATTTTCTTTTCAACTACCATTTTTTTTTTTAAATAATTATTTCCAGTAATTTTCTTTGAGGGTAATTCTACTAGTAAATCATTTTGCTGCTCGAGTTTTTTTAAATTTTTTATGTGCGATCCTTCAATTATTAAATTATCCATATTTCTGGGTTAGATAATTTTGTGGATTCAAAGGCTCAACCATGGAAACAAACAAATGAGATAAAATTGCAATTAAAAAAAAAGAAGGCATAGCTATAACACGGAAACTAAAAAGGCATGTTCATCTATACTATATATTAAGTAAAAGGGGGATTTTTAATCTCAAGTCTTGTAGGAGTTCTAATCTCCCAATTTAAATTTCTTGATTTTTTGATTAAAAACAAAAAAAACTTAACATTTATTAACTTCTCCCAACCCTCAAGTCTTACCCTCATAATAACACTTTAATGCATTAAGAACAAGTATAAAAAAAATTCTTTAAAATCCAACACATATAAATTTGTTGAAAAGTCCCAACATATATGATTATTATCCCTCATAATAACACTTTAATGCATCCTAAGAACAAGTATAAAAAAAATTTCTTAAAAAGTCCAACACATATGATTATTATCAAAATATTAAACTTTAATATCTATATTATATATTAAGCAAAATTGGGTTTTTAGCCCCAAACTTTGTGAGAGCTCCAATCTCCTAATCTAAATTTCCTGATTTTTTGATTTTAAAAAAAATGATCTTAGCATTTATTAACTTTTCCCAACTCCCAAGTCTTACTCTCATAATAACACTTTAATGCATTAAGAATAAGCATAAAAAAAATTCTTTGAAATCCAACACATATGAATTCCTTGAAAAGTCCCAACACATATGATTATTATCCATCATAATAACACTTTAATGTATTAAAAACAAGCATAAAAAAAATTTCTTAAAAAGTCCAACACATGATTATTATCAAAATATTAAACTTTAATATAATATAATAAAAAAAAGACATTTAACTCCTTGAAAAGTTCAACATATATGATTATTATCAAAATATTAAACTTTAATATAATAACAAAAAGGAAAAAAAAGAAGACATTTAAAAAAAAAAAGAATAAAACATTTAAAAATCACAATTCACATATATAGATAATTGTAAACACAATCCGTGCATAGTACGGGTGATATGCTAGTCTATACTATATATTAAGCAAAAGGGGGTTTTTAACCCCAAGTCTTGTGCGAGCTCCAATCTCCCAATCTAAATTTTCTGATTTTTTGATTTAAAAAAAAAAAATCTTAGGATTTATTAACTTCTCCCAACTCCCAAGTTTTACCCTCATAATAACACTTTAATGCATTAATAACAAGTATAAAAAAAATTCTTTAAAATCCAACACATATGAATTCCTTGAAAAGTCTCAACACATATGATTATTATCCCTCATAATTACACTTTAATGCATTAAGAACAAGTATAAAAAAAATTCTTGAAAAGTCCAACACATATTATTATTATCAAAATACTCCTTCCGTTCCAAAATATTAGTCCTTTATTTCATTTTTTATTGTCCCAAAATATTAGTCCCTCTTCAAAAATCAAGTACAAAAATAATATAAATTTTCTATTTTGCCCTTCTTTTAAATTAATAAACAATACAAAAAGTACAATTATGACATTGATATTCCCAAAAACATGTACTATCAAAAGGATAATTTTGGAAAATCAACTTTTTTTAAATGCAATGATTATACTACCAAAAAAAGTTGGATTTTCCAAAAGGGACCATTATTTTGGGACGGAAGGAGTATTAACCTTTAATATAATATAATAAAAAAAAGACATTTAATTCCTTAAAAAGTCCAACACATATGATTATTATCAAAATATTAAACTTTAATATAATATTTAAAAAAAAGACATTTAAAAAAAAACATTTAAAAATCACAATTCACATATATAGATAATTATAAACACAATCTGTGCATAGCACGAGTGATATGCTAGTATATATATTAAGAAAAAAAGGGTTTCTAACCCCAAGCCTTGTGGGAGCTCCAATATCTCAATCTAAATTTCCTGATTTTTTTATTTAAAAAAAAAAATCTCAGCATTTATTGATTTGGTCGAAATCTCATGATCAACATTTATTAACTTTTTTCAATCCACATGTCTTTCCACATGCCTGCATTTATTGATTTGGTCAAAGGAAAATGTTTGGGACCCCCACAAAAAGGACCCCCATGACTCCCACTAATGTATTGGTCATTGATGTGTTTGAATTTTTTTTGGACTTGTGTCTGACAATGACATGAATGGTTCAGATAATTGGGGGTTGTGTTTGATAAGCTACATCAGTCCAAGCCACCAGATCAAACAGATCAGTCTCAAACAGATCAGTCCAAGTCCAAGCCATCAGAGACAGATCAGTCCAAGTCCAAGCCATCAGAGTCCAAGCCACCAGATCAAACAGATCAGTCCAAATCCAAGCCATCTGTTGAAGACACTCAAGGGCTGAGCACGTGTATAAAATTGAGACAGTTATCATCCACTTGTGGTTGTTAGCATAAATCTATTAAGCTGTTATCTAAACTCAACTATGGTTAGTTAGTTAGGATATTGAGTTAGATAGTTATAATTTCTGTATAAAAAGGAAGCTGTAGTTGTATGTGTAATATAGATTTCTTTGAAATAAGAATCTGATATTCTAAATTCCTTTATGGTATCAGAGCAATTGAGCTCCATCGAGCATTTTCTATCTTCAACAAAAATCCAGTAATGGCAGCAAATCTGCAAGATGCTACTATAAGAAATCTACAAGCAACAATGGCAGATTCAATCTCTGTTCCAGGTTCTGCAGATATCTCCATGTTACCTTCAAATCTCACTCTTCTTATCTCCAATCTCAACTCCTTTGTTCCAATCAAACTTGACTCTCCAAACTATATCATTTGGAAGAGTCAGTTTCAGAATATCTTGAGAGCTACAAAGCTACTAGGTTTTGTTGATGGTTCTATATCCTATCCTTCATCTACAATCCATGATGCACACGGCAATTCTGTTCCAAATCCAGCATTCACGCAATGGATCACCATTGATACACATTTGTTGAGTTGTATTACTGCTACACTTTCACCATCCATCTTCACATCTGTTTTGCACTGTGGAACAAGTACAGAGGTATGGAATACACTGGCTACTCGATTTACATCTCTCTCTCGATCTCATATTCATCAGCTAAAGAACAAGCTCAATCATTTGACAAAGAAGAATCTCACTATGGAGGATTACTTGAATCAAATTAAGGCTGTTTCTGATCAGTTGAGTTTGGCTGGTTCACCAATTGAAGATGAAGATTTAGTTTTACTCACCTTAAATGGTTTACCTGATGAATATAATGCTTTCAAGACAACTATTCGTGCAAGATCTGAGCCTATTACTATTTCTACTTTGTCTGCCCTACTGTGTTCTGAATCTATTCACATTGATACCTCTCTCAAGCACACTCATGCTTCTGATCTGCCTTTTGCTTATGCAACTACTCGAGGAAATTATAGAGGTTTCAAAAGTTCTCAGAGAGGAGGATATCGAGGTTATGGTTCATATAGAGGTCGAACTGGCAACAGATTTTCACAAAACAAAGGTGGAGGCAGAACTTCTCAGTTCCAACAGTTTTCATCTCCACATCAGTCTTCTGTTCAAAGTGGCAGACCATCTTCTCAGTTTCAATCTCAGTTTCAATTTCCACATCAGTCCTCTGTTGGTTCTTTGGTCTGTCAAATTTGTGGAAAGCCCAATCATTCAGCTTTGGAATGTTGGCATAGACTTGATACAACACTTCAAGCATCTAAAGCTCATCCCAGGGCTTATGTTGCCTCCTCATCTACCAATATTATTCCTGATTCTCCTATGCATACAGTAGAAAATTCTACTTGGTTCTTAGATTCTGCTGCTTCCAATCATTTCACAAATGATCTCAACAACTTGAATACTTACCAACCTTATCTTGGTTCAGATCAAGTCACTGTGGGAAATGGTTCCACTTTACCTATTCTTCATACTGGTAATGGCATTCTTCCTACTCCTACTGTCCCTTTCACACTTAACAATTTATTCCATGTTCCATCTATTTCTTCAAATCTTCTGTCAGTTCACCAATTCATTGTTGATAACAAATGCACCATTACTTTTGATGTTGACTTCTTTGTTATACAGGACAAACTTACCAAGAAGGTTCTGTATAAAGGAGGTTTTTCTCATGGTCTTTACCATCTACCAGCTTCAGCTTCATCTTCTCTTCCAGCTTCAACTTCTTCATTGTCTTCTCCACCTGTTTGTCTTCATTGTTCCACTGAAGATTCTGCTCATCATGCTTCTCTTTGGCATTCTAGACTAGGACATCCTTCCTCCAAGAAGTTGAATTGTCTTGTTTCTAAGCATCATTTACCTACTATGGATGCTACTGTTGTTTCAAATAAATTGTGCACACATTGTTGTGTGTCTAAGAGTCATAGGTTGCCATTTAGTCTTTCAACTTCCACTGTAAATCAACCTTTAGCTCTTATCCATTCTGATGTATGGGGCCCTTTTGCTGCCTCTGTTTCAAACTATAAATACTATGTTCTTTTCATTGATGACTTTAGTAAATTTACATGGTTATTTCCTTTGTCTTACAAGAGTGAAGTTTTTTCCAAATTTCTTGATTTTAAGACTTTTGTGGAAACACAGTTTCACACCAAACTTCAAATTCTGCGCAGTGATAATGGGGGTGAATATTTGGCTTCTGAATTTCAACATTTTTTAACCACCAGAGGTATTGAGCATCATCTCACTTGTCCATATACTCCTGCTCAGAATGGAGTAGCTGAGAGGAAGCATAGACACTTGATTGAAACCACTATCACTCTCATGCATCAATCTTCTCTTCCTGTCAAATATTGGTTTGATGCTCTTGCTACTTCTGTATTTCTGATTAACAGACATCCTACTTCCAAGCTCAACAATTTAACTCCTTTTGAAGTACTGTTTAAGCAGGTTCCTGATTATAATTTCTTAAA